TATATATAAAAACTTTGTATAATTTTTTAAATTTTATTCACTATATGAAGATGATATGAGTTCTGGTTTTTTTCGACAAATGTAATAATCCGTATATACAATAGGTTTAATTTTTATATTTACTTCTACTGTTTTTAGTTTATGTAATTGTATATGTGCTGTGTGTATTTGTACTTATATACATCAACTCTATATAATGTTTTAAATTTTATTAACTATAAGTTAGTTTTGTGCTCTGACCTGCTATAAATGTACTAATTTATATATAATGTGGTTAAATAAACGATATCTATCGGTAACGGTATCGACACGCATAGTTGGACAATACCTACAATTACCAGCATTTATACAGCTGAACTCTATACTATTTGGCAAGCTGTACGATATACAGAAATGAACGATTTTAATATTACCTTTATCTGTCCTGACTCACTTAGTGCCTTACAAGCATTAGCTGATATTTTCACAGTAGATCCATATTTGCACGTATTCACCTGCTGGAGACTCAGGGTAAAAAGGTTTGTTTTGTTTGGATACCCAGTCATGTAGGGATACGGGGAAATGAATTTGCAGATAGGGCAGCTAAAGAAGCGGTAGGTAACTACGCACCAGAAGACATTCCGATACGAACCGCTGATGTAAAAATTCATTTAAAACAAAATGCGTTAAATCTATGGCAAGAAGAATGGAACGGTGTTGATGCCAAATTAAAGGAAATCAAACCGGAAGTTGGTAAATATGCATGGAGTCATTTGGTAGAAGGGAGCAAACTGCAATAACAAGACTGAGGATGGCCATACAAATTTAACATCGAGCTGTTTGTTAGCAGGCCATCAACCACCACGATGGAAAGATTGCTACGTACCTGTATCGGTGAAACACATTTTGTTAGAATGTCCGAGACATGAACACCATAGAAGACGAATAGCAATTCCGGATCAACTCAATCTATGCTTGGGAGAATCTCCTATAAATCTAAGAAAGACACTAGAATTCTTAGGAGCTACCAATCTACTGTCTAAAATCTGACATATATGTTATATATTCATACATAGGATATGAAGTTTGTTTTCATGTTACAAGATTATTGTTGTTATTGCTAGTGAAATTCTTCTTTGTTACGACTTAAAAAAAAACAGTTAAAAAGAGAGGAATTAGTACATAGAACAGATGCGACTAATGACCTGAGTAGTCGATGTCACTATATAAAAAAAAATAAAAAAAAAGTAGATGTTAAATGAATAAGAATGCCCTACGTTCCACTTCGTCAAATTAAGCCAATGGCTTATAAATTTGATATTATTTTTTCAAAGTTTTAAATAAACAAATTCGAACAAATTTGTGCAACATTTAGATAATTGAAGTAACAGTGGTTGGTATGTGGGAAAATACTGTTACGAAAAGGAATATATGTCATTTGGAAGTCTTTTTATTTTGCAGAATATTTTTTGTATTATGATATAGTTCGGTGAATACATCCTGAAAACGGGCCTGGATCGCGCACCCTTTTTGTCGGCGTCTTATCCTCTCTGTTTTATCGGCTTTTTAAATTGTTGCTTTCAAGTAGTTATCTTTTTAATTGTACTCTGCGAACTGGTGCCAGGTCGATGTTAGATCGTCGTGATTTTGTTCCAAGTCGCAGTCAGCGAGTCATCGTCACCCGAAGGCAGATTCTTCAAGTGTTCCCTTTGAGCGACACCTTTTGATCGCTGAGGCGAGTGGATGCAACCCCCGATGGTGTAAATGTTGAAGGGGACCCCGCGATCCGCCGTAAAAAGTCTGATACTAACATAATTAAAGTACAAGCAGTGTAATTTTACTTAATTAAATTCCCTTTTTGGCGGACTGTCGAGCGAAAGCTAGCGCCACACGGCGGAGCCCCGGTAGGGAGACGATATGAACTTTTTCCACCCAATGAACATTAAAACTCGGCATTTAATTTCATCAGAGATCTAAGAGGAGATTTTTGACCATAAAAAAGAAGAGACAGTAGCTCGTTTCGTTGGCAGTTGTTAAGATTGTGAGGGTTATGCCATTGAACAGATGGACATTTAGGCGCTTATCGTGGCGCAAACGAAAATAAAAACATGAAAATGAGATAAAAAAGCGCGCTTACTTAGTGGGTTACGACAATAAGGGGTAATAGATTGCATAATTACCGTGGTTGAAGGAAAATATTGTCTTTCAAAGTGGAGCAATTGTATCAATATCTTTGAAAACTGCTGACAAAAATGTAATAGATGCAATTTTTCAACTTTAAACTACTATATAAACTCAACATCTGCCACATCACAGCGTTTGAAACATTTATGAGAGGCTTATAATTCAAACATAAAAAAATATATATATATATAAATTGATATGCATTAGTTAATTATGAGAACTTAATCAAGGATACTCAAAAAATAGTATACACACATGTTCAATGCACTTTTAGTATAGTGCTCCTGGCGGAACAAGTCGCTCCAGAAATGATGGGTGTGTTTATGATTAAAAGTTGATACGTACATACATTTTTTCATTCATTTCATTAATATTTTGTAGATATTATATGCAAAATCGGCCAGTACAGCTGTCATCGATTCTGCGATTCTTTAAGTTTTTCGTTGTTGTTAGTTTATTACTGATAGGACAAATATTAGAAAGGCACCGTTAGATCGAGAAATAATGGACCTATGATTTCTCGATAGAAGAAATTTTCGATTTGAGGCTTAATTTTACACTTTTCAGGAAATAAGTACTAATCTTCTCCATTTAAAAGATAATAAATATAGTTTAAAAAAACTAAAAAACACGCTTTTAAAGCACATCAAACTAAAAAGTGAAAAATAATTATTAATATAAACTGAAAACAATAATGAACGAAAAATACTAGTATTATTGTGAAAAAAAGCGTGGGGCGCTTTGTGCCATATTTTTCGTACATCGAGCAACCCACGCTTTTTTCACAATAATACTAGTATTTTTCGTTCATTACTGTTTTTAGTTTATATTAATAATTATTTTTCACTTTTTAGTTTGATGTGCTTTAAAAGCGTGTTTTTTAGTTTTTTTAAACTATATTTATTTTTCACTTTTTGGTATTCTGGCGATCCTGATAAGGATAATGATATGAACTTATCAAATTATTGTATTGTTACCGGTTCTTCGTAAGTGTACAAAGTTTCAATTAAATCTGTCCGTTTAAAGTGGGTCAAAATCCAAAGAGTCGGTTACAAACAAACAAACTCACACAAACAAACATACAGGTGAAGCTAATAATAAAAGCGTGATAAAAATACAGCTTATATTTGTAACATGATGGCAGCTACATTTAAAATATAGTTTTTTGTTTCTTCACTGTTCCAATTAACCTTTTCGTGATGGGAAACGCAAGAACACGCAAATAGATGACCCTTCAAATTTGCGGGAACCGCGTTTCTTCGAACCGTCAAAACTCTGCTATATATCGAGACCCTCATGATGTCGTCCTACTTGACTTGAGAGACTGAATACATGCATTTTATATCAATTTGTTACTCAATTCAATGCTTTTTTAACCAATATGAGTTGGAAAATTAATTTAAATGATAAAAAACTCGAAGACAGACGCACGATTGCGCACGGACCTAAAACCACCCTTTGACGACCAGAAACGGGAAACGTACGATTGCGCACTAACCTAAAAAACCCGATTTGACTGCCAGTCTCTGTAAAATTAAGCCCGTCGCGAAAGGATTAATTGGGCGGGTAAATAAATGTGTTGTACTTTGTAAAGAATTAGTAATATGCAATAAAATAACATGAGAGAAGGTTATTAATTAACTCCTAAAGAGATCGTGTACCATTTCATTTCACAATATTTATTCCCATTTTGTTAGTTGTATGAAAGTTATATGTAAGACCGTAACTGGAATGACTACGTGAGATACGGCCTATCTTTTGTAAATCTATAAAATATAAGCTTCGAATCTGTGTAACACGTTTTAGTCTCAAAATGCTAACAAAGTGATAGATTTTGGACCATCGAACACTCTACTATTCATCACAAGTTTTCAAAAAATGAACTGATTAATGAAGTATGGCTTCATAATGTAAACTGGTTGAACAAGTAACACTTCCTAGCAGCTGAAGAAGTGAAAATATATTATCGAAATGTAATCCTAGGTAGAGGTATTTCAAAACCTTATGAGCCGAGAAATGTGCAAAAAGCGGAGCTTATTCTGAGCTATAAGTATATTTTGAAAACATTTACTCAGCTATCTACCATCTGTATACAATGGAAGCTCGGGATGTTTTTAGGAAGTGGTGTAACTGAGCTGACGGCCGGAGTTATGCCTCTGTGCATATGAAGGTCGAAGCTCATAAGGTTTTGAAACATCTCTAAACTTATATTACTGTTCACTATTCAGCATCTATTCTACTTATGGATATATTTTGGAATGCTTATTTCTTAAATTAAATTTATGTGGCTACTTACCGTGATCGAAGAGGAAGGTGGTTTTGGCAAGTGCATGGGCGGCTGGGGGAAGACCTGGCACCGAGAACGTATACGCTCCGTTACTGTTGAAGCCACCCCCGAATAAAGGACCTACTGAAACAAAAGAACATATCAATATAATTTTACTTTGTTGTTGTAGTTTAGTTTTCAACCTTACAGCCTTCTTTACCAGTAAAAGATCTAGGTAATTTCTACACTTAAAAAGTAAAGTGTTATATGCCATTCTTCACTGCAAAACAGAAATTAGCATGCAGGACTATGATACAGAATATTGGCCAGCATCGATCCCTGTATATTTTAAAAGTCTTTTATTTAATTTCCAATTCATTGGGTCCCTGTGGCACTGCACTGTTAAAGTGGATTTAAATTTAAATTTTTTTTAATTTAAACACCACAGGTAATACAGTCCCCTGTATCCCTCAAGGTACCTTGTGTGGGAGCGGGCTACACATTTAGAGACAATGGACACACACCCAATGTCCGAGTATGCTAGGATTAATTTTTGGTTTAGAACAAATCCTAGCTCCTCGACCGGGAATTGAACCCAGGACTCCAGGCTGTGAGGCAAGTATCCTTACCACTCGACAACGAAGCCACATTAATTTCTAATATTAAATGACAGATCATTTTAAAGAATTTGTCAACTTGATTTTCAAAAATCGAAAAAAAGGTAAAAGAGCAATTTTTTAAATCGGAAACCCATCTTTCAGTTACCGTCTACACAATACACATCGTATGGAGGATTATAACAAATACGTTTATTGTCTATAATTATTTATTTGTAATATCTTACTTCGCGCTTCCTTTGGGTATTAAAAAAATATATTTATGTGAATATGGTATATTGGTAAATCATCTAGACCTTTCAGTGTGAGGCTCATTAAAGCTTTATGTCTCAACTGTGCTCGTCAAGGTCCCAAATGTGACATAATATAAACGATATAAACACCACAGAAATTAGACAACTCCTGAATTCAAAGCCGAAGCTGCACGGGCAAGAGTTACACTTATGAAAAAATGCAGATACGCACCCATTCCTACCGACATTGCCAGTGGCGGCGGCAGAATTCAAACCCGCAGCTACAATGGTGATATTATCTAATCACACTTGCCATCGTGCTCTCTAGCCGATTACTCCACCGAGCTGGTTAAACATAAAGACATCAATGCCTGTGTAGGCACACACAAAAAAAATTCTGTACTTTAAATCAAAACCATGTTTCCTTATGTATTTTGATGCATACTTTTAGCTACGGGGCATTTTTAGCTACATATATCGTAAAAATTACCTTTCTTTTTTTAAACAAAAAAATTACAATTTTGTTAAACAATTTTTTTTCCTAAATCATCGTAATCTACGTTTCCATGGGTACTATACATGATTTTGACATCAAAATAGCCTTTTTGGCAGCTGCCAACTCTCAAAATGCTAATCGTAAAATTCCGATATATTTAAGAAAAGCTTCTTCCATGTGTAAAAATATAACTCTACCTACATTTCTGAGGGTGCTGAATATGATTTTGACATCAAAATTGTCTTTTTGGCATCTGCCAACTGTCAAACTTCCAATTGCAGCCAATTGCTAAATTCCAAAAATTCAAAAGAAAAATTGTATTTGTAAAACTTTATCAATACCTACGTTTTTGAAGGTGTTTAACCTGACTTTGACGGTTATTGTCAAAGTACTATTGAAATCTACAGATATATAATTACAACAAGACAGTTACTTTTGTAGAATTTATTAATAATTTACACCCTAATATAAAATTTACTGTAGAATATGAAAAAGACAATTCGATTAATTTTTTAGATTTAACTATCACAAAAATTAATAATTCACATGAATTTAATATTTACCATAAACCTTCGCACACAGATATTACGATACATAATAGTTCAACACATCCTGTAAAACATAAACACGCTGCCTTATATTAGTATGATAAACAGATTAAACAAATTTCCTTTAACTGAAGATAATTACAACAACGAATTAAATTTTATTAAACAATTAGCAGTGAATAATGGTTTTAAAGAAACTTTGGTTAACAATTTACTCAAAAAGAAAAATTATAATATAGCAATAGAGTCAGTTTATCCAAAAGCAGAAATCAGTGAATTAAGTGATTTAAGATATAAAACCCTTACTTATATAGGCCAACCTACCGAAAAAATATCAGTTGAACTTAAGAAAAAACATAATATTAAAATAGCATTTAAAACTAATAACACTCTAGGAAAATTTATTAAGAACAATAAAGATAAAACTAAAAAAAGAACAAAAAAGTGGAGTCTATAAACTTACATGTGGTACATGCCCTAAAGTATACATCGGACAAATGGGAAGAAATTTTGGAAAAAGATTTTCCGAATATAAACGCAGTTTTAATAACAATAAATTAGATTCGACGTATGCCAACCATTTGCTAGAGGACATTCATTCTTTTAATAATAATTTTGATACTTTACACACAGAAAATAAAGGATTAAAATTGTCACTATTAGAGACATTAGAAATCAATAAATTAAAAAATAGTAATATTATTTTAAATGACCAGCTAGATTTAAACTGTTTGCCACTGTTAAATATTTTCTAAATTATTTTGTACCTTGTTTTATTACCGTTCCATTTTATCACCCTAGATTAGTTAGTTGATTGTGAACATCAAACATAAGTTTATTTTGTGTCTATATATAATTACGATAACCAAATCATATTTACTGATTTCGAAAAAGAAATTAATGAACGTCTTTTTGCATGCCACTCAAACTATTAATCTAGAATTTCGATTGTGAGAATTGGCAGTTTGACAGTTGGCAGCTGCCAAAAATGCAATTTTGATGTCAAAATCATATTAGAACCCTCGAAAACGTTGGTAGTGATGTAGTTTTAGACATAGAAGAAGCTTTTCTTACAAATTTTAGAATTTTACAATTTGCGGTTTGACAATTGGCAGCTATCAAAAAGGTTATTTTAATGTCAAAATCATATTTAGCATCCTCGAAAACGTTTGTAGTGATATAGTTTTACACATAGAAGAAGCTTTTCTTACAAATTTTGTAATTTTACAATTTGCGGTTTGACAATTGGCAGCTGCCAAAAATGTTATTTTGATGTCAAAATCATGTTTAATACCCATGTTAACGTAGATTACGGTGATTTAGTAAAAAAAAATTGTCTAACAAAATTTTATTTTTTTTTTGTTTTAAAAAAGGTGATTTTTTACGATATCTCTAGCTAAAAATGACCCATAGCTAAAAATTTACGAAATAGCCGTAATTTTTATGGCCAGATTCGGTTTCAGCACATCAAAATACATAAGGGAACATGGTTTTGATTTAAAGTACAGAATTTTTTTTGTGTGCCCTATCCCATTCTAGATCCAATTCCTTAATTAAGCTACGCTGACGAGGAGCAGCAACTCCGAAATACGTGTACGTTAATTTTTGAGTTATATGGTAATAGTTCTTGTTTTATTTTATTGTTGCACTCCACAAGCTCTTTCTTTATAATTTAATATGTTTGAAAAATATCTATGTGGTGCGATAGAGATAATCTCGTATTTTATTGCAAAACACCTTCAGATTCGCTGTATCCGTCTTTGTGCTATGGTCTTAGATGCTTGCAATTTGGCTTTTGATTCTGCACAATCACTTACGCTGGTTGCACACCACACACCGCTGTTTATGCAATATTGTTATTTGATGGATGTTCATCGTACTAGAACTTATTGCAATACACCGATATAATGTATTCGGTTATTCCACTGACAGACTCGTTCTAGGCAGAGACTGTAAAGATATAACTACTTACCCTTCTCCTTTCCAAAAGATGTGACCATTCCATTATGTAATATTATGTGAACCCCTATGAATTTACTTATAATTAATAAATTGTAAACCGATACGACTCGTCAAATCGTTAAACTCGAAACAAAAATTACACAAGAAAAAGGTTTTAATTGCAATTAAATACGAAGATGAAATTATCATTGCCACATATGGACGAAATCTGAAGGGTTCCATAAAGAAATAGTGAATTGAAGTCTTGTTTTGCAATTTGCAGACTTAAAACAAAATATTCTTCAGTAAGAAAATACCTTGCCTCATGTGCCAAAAATACTTGCAATCTATTCTTCTTCTCCGAAGTTCCCAGTTCTATCTCTGGCCAAGGAACTGAGATACATGTGTGCAGCTGTCGTCTCCAAATGTACACATCTTATGCACAAGGTTACTATCAGTAAATTACTCTTTCCATAACAAGACAACAGAAGGATTTTTTCTTTTTAAAAATTGTACAGGAATCCTCAATGATTATTACAGTTGCCTATCAGAAAGAATATTTAATTTCAATCTAAGAAAGATACAGATATATCCTTGTCTAATATAAAATGTCTGAGGAAGAGGAAGATTGCATAAAGAAAAAAAATACGTTCAAATCGTGGGGCTCGCGATCGAGCAATAAGGATACTTGCCTCTCACCCGTTCGATCCCCGGTCGAGGCGATAGGATTTTTTTCTAAACCAGAAATTAATTCTCGCATACTTGGATAGTGGATGTGTGTCCATTGACTCTAAATGTGTAGCCCTCTCCCTCAGAAGGTACCTTGAGGCACCTTCAGTAATACAGGGGGTTGTATTACCTGTGGTGTTTTATTAATTAATTAATTAATTAAATATATGTATTTATTTCCTTATTAGTATTTTGAGTTAAAGTGTGTGTTTTTTCTACTTCAAAGTTGTATTTTTTGCGCTATATATTTATGTATAATTTTGTTAAAAAATAGTAAGCTCATATCCGAAAATACATGCGCAAAACCAGTATATCATTTAGAGCAGTCTTAATGAACATAAGCTGATGGACGTTATATTGCAAACTATTCTGAAGTTAAACGATGTGGATTATAAATACAAATATGGATCGCTTGATAGTCGGGATAAAAAAACCAAGAATCGATTATGAATTTGGTTAAAAACAACAAAATATACTGTCTTGAGTAGTTGATGTAAAGTTTACATTGCATTGAAAGTTTTGTACAATTATACAAATGAATGTATTGAATTTGAATATAAATTGTATTGAAACGTTGAATTCAGAGTTTGGTATTGTATTGTGTGTAAATTGTGACTATTAATAACATGTAGTGGAGTATCAATATGTCCAATCGAATAAGTACGTATCTACATAATTCATGTATTTAAATATCGGACTGGTCTTGTTATTACCTTATCATCAAGTCATCGTTCTCAGATCTTAGTACAGTCACATTAAAATTTCATTGCAGAAATTTCAAAGCTAAATGTTTTGAAATGTTTCCATTTTCAGTGGGCATTCACTTAAAGTAAGTCCTAAAATCTTGAAACATATGTTTAAAAAATTGGTGCGGTTGTAGTCAAATACAAATTTCTCAAAGTGATAGCTCTACAAATAATGGGTAGGCAAGTCATTGGTCTTATAATATTTTACATAACCAATACTTTACACGTAGTTTTTCCGAATACAAAAGGTATAGGCGCGATTCTAGGTATTACTGACATTTAAATTAAAATTAAACACCACTGATAATACAACTCACAATATTTCTAAAGGAAACT